AAGCATCACTGGCTACGGTCAGTGTGCGGGTGGGTGACCACTTGGATCAGTCTGCGTAGGGACCGAGGGTGTGCGGTATTGGTCCTCGTTAAACTGTGCTACCGTAAAGTGCTCGACTTCGCACGCAGGTCGTCGGGCTACCGAAGCGGGGGTGCCATCCCTTCCGCAGAGGATCAAAATTGTGATGGCATGGCTTCGGATCATCTTCCGGGATGTTTCCCAGACCGTCGCCAATAGCCCATTGTGCAGCTTTAGTGCGACGTAAAGTAACAACAGCAACAACAACAAATGCCATTCTCACTGAATGCGGTTCACGCACTTCCGTTAGCCGTACAGAAATATAGTGAATTTTTCGTGGGAAAATATTTGTCTCCAATCAACTCATTTTCCCTCGATGGTGAACCGAAATCAATAAAAATGGCCCTTTAAAAAACATTTTGAATCAAGTACGAATTCACACTGGATACTAAGAAATCGCGTATGCAAATATGGCGATACGAACGAGAACCTTATTGGTGAAATATGTTATCAGGGTAAAAATTCACCATTTAAATTCTTGCTCGCATTTCCGTATTCAAATATGTAATTTCGTTTCGTTGCATCCACTCTAAATGTCCCAAAATAATCACAGCATCTGCGATAAAACCTTTCGTTTTCGCGTTGACAACGAGAATTAAGCTATTTAAACACTTTTTGCCATTCACCTATTACACTTATCGATTAAATTAACGACGAAATTGGCAACATTGGTTTGTTTTTGTTTCGGTCTCGATTTGAAAGGATAATATGATCGTTACAAGTAATCTGGGAACTTTATCTCCAAATTTTTTATTGAAATAGCTGCTATTTATTTATTGAGGGATAAATCAATAAAGTAATCCTATTAATGATGTATTAAATTAAATTCTTCGATGTCCTCTAAAAAGTAATTATGTTATCTATCTTCAAATTACAACAAACAAACAGCTGCTTGTGCTATTTATGACATTAGAGACTTAATACTATGTTAATTTATTTCTATGATCTTATGTTTGTTTAAATTCAAAAAGCAATATCATATCTGCATGGGGCAGAAAGAATAACTTATATGAAGATAGCACTTTTAAGTTAAAAGCTGCTCATAAGGAGATCCTTATAAATAAACCTTTTGATTCTGTTACATTCTAATTTCTGCAGATATATTATTATATTGACCCAGAGCATATATTTGTGTTATCTCTCTGGTTTTTTTCTTTTTTTTCTAAAGCAATATGTTGTGAATAAATTTTCTTAAGTAATAATATTTAGAATTAAAATTGCTCTGTGATGTAAAGGACACAATTTTGAAATGCCTTTCTTAATTTTTAAAAGCACTCTTTTGAATTTTAACTACTTAATAGTGATGCTTTATAAGTTTTAAAAATTTTTAAAAGAAGTTCATAATGTCATACTTGTAAAGGAGGAGATTTTCTGGGGATATTTCCGTATCGGGGAACTGTCGCGCCAACTACAATCGCCAAGGTGCCAAATAGATTTTAAACTCGAAAATTTTTTTAAAGAAAACATGTAGATGTTTGCCTGGGAAGTAGCTAGGAGTTATACCTTTCGAGTTGGTCCCTTTCTGTGATTTTTTTTTTTTTAAAGTTTTTTTTGAGTTGTTGTTTTCTTTTTTCTTGGATATTCTTCTGCCACAGATCACAATACGAAAATTTCCCCGTTTCTACGTTATTTTACATTTTTTTCTTCAAAATAAATACACATCTAATCATAATAATCGTAATTTACATAAATACCATTTAAAATGTAGTTAAGTGAGAAGATTTCCATATTGTGATCTGCGGCAGAATAATTGCCGAGTCTTGGTAAATTCTGGGCTGCAGCCCACAATAGACTGAAAAAATTATAGTAGAGGACCAACTCATAGCCATCTCCCGTCAAACCTCGACATGTTTGTTTGTTTTTTTAATTGCTTTTTTAAAACCTATTTGGTGACTGATCAGGATACAGAAATATCCCCAGTTACATTTAAATATAAAATATGAAATATTGTTTATAACATTTATTTTGTTTCTGAACTCCACATATATGTTTATATGATGCGGCACGACATGTACCAAGAGTTATTATAAAACGAGGAAAATTATCACTTTGTGAAAAAATAGCGGAGGCAGGGTTTGACTTGTCTTATACCTGCATTTATGATTGTCACCTGGGTTCCAATTACTATGAGAGCTTTCCTTGAAGATCGTTACTTGTAAGGATGTAATGAATAGTGATTTGAGGGGGGGGGGATTAGTCGACGACGAATATTCAATGACCATATAGCAACATTTTTTTTAAAAAAAAGTCATTAATAAATGTAATTTTTTATGCATAAATAAGTTTAGGTCATTATTGAAAATGAATCAAAACTTAGCTATATTAATGGTATGGGTTAAAGAGGAAAAAATTTAATAGATTATCCTGATTTTTATTGTGATTATTTAATAGATCCATTAGAAATATTTAAGATAAATAAAAAACTGACGAACAGCTATTAAAAACAACTAAAATTGTAAAGTTAAAAAAAGAGAAATAGAAAAAATCTTTTTGGCTTTTAAAGCAAAACTTTGAAATAATGTTTTCTAGAAAAAAAAGTATCCATAAAGCTTTTTAAAAAAATATAGTCTATCAGAAACGCTTTTATAAATACCATGCTGTTATAAAAACAAAAGATTATACACAAAACAAAACAGAAAAAAATAAATTCTTAATTGTAGAACATTTTAATCTAAGAAAATTTTAAGCAAAACATCTCAGTTTTCCAATTGCTATATTTTTAAGAAAAAAAAACCTCGATAAAAACAAAAGCTTTTTACGGAAGGAAAAAAGTTGGATCGAAGCAAAAATCATTCTTAATTTTTAAATGAAAAATTCTAACACTAAAAATCTTAATTTAACTTTTTTATATTACCTTATTTTTAGAAGAAAGTAATGATAGAAGAAAAACATTCATTAGAAACGCTCGTTAAAAAATTTTGTGTCTTAACGCAACATAACATGAGCACTTAACTGATAAAAAGATATGTATTGCTCATAACAGATGAAAGGAAAAGTTAATTAAAAGGGCAAAAGAAATTTTTTTTTGGTTTTCAAAATTGAAAATCATTTGATTTTTCAGTTTGACATTGAAAATCAGTATTCTATGTTTCCAGTTATCTGTCTTACTGTATAAGGAAAAAAATATAAATAAAAGAATAATATCTATCCGAATCGCTCTGTTAATAAAATTAGAAGAAATATTTTTAAAAATTTAATATCATTTATGGATTGCCCCTTGTTGTAGAATGCTTTTAAAGGAGTTTTGTAAGAGAAAATTTTTTGCATATATAGGCTGTAATAATTTAGTTCTTTTCATAATGAAGTCACTTAAAATTAACTTAATGATTCTGTAATTTAATTAAAATTGTCAACTTCTCTCATGCAATTACTGCTAATTATTCCTACTCAATGTGTGTGAATAATGTATATCTTAAGTTAAAAAATAAATAAATAAATAGCAGTTCTGCATTTTTTGTTCTCTACATGCAATAAAGTGATAATAGATTTAAATTATTTCAATTTTTGTCAACTTTTTTCTAAGAAAAATTATGTTATTAATTTATAATGTGTATAAACTACTTCCATATTTTACTATAAAAGAGAGATCTTTGAACAATATTTCTTTTAATATAATATAAATGTCTTTTAAAAAATTCAAAAAGATTTTAATCTTTCGGAACTGAAATTGACATCTCTGTGGAAAACGGACGAATGGCCAAATTGAGGAAAGCATCTGCCAGAGTTCTGTATTCTTAAGGCTCCACAGAAAAAATAACTATAAAGAAATCAAAGTTAAAGAAATAAATATAATTTAGAGCTAAGCTCTTAAATGTACAATTCTTCTTTTCTAAAGGCCATTTATGTTTAATATATAAAAATTAATTAGCAGTATATAATTGGAAAAAAAAATTAGGGGAAAAACAATTTTTTTTTAAGATATTTGGAAAAGAGTATTTTTATTTATCTCAATAAAAGAGCCAAAGATATAGTGTCCTAAGTTATATACTTTCCTTCACCCTAGTGAAAGAACTGCTTGTATTTAGGAAATGTATAATTTCTCTATTTTCTTAAAAACTATTAAACAGTTCTTAAGCCCTGCTTGAAAGATAAATATTAATTTTTCCTTTGCTAGTAGTGTAGAAGTTTAAACATGTACTTTTTGGCTAGATAGATAAGCAGCTCATTCATCTTTCGAAAACTGTAAGCTAACAAAAGTAAATACTCCTTTAATAGCCAATTGTCTGGTAAAAGGGACATAAAAGGTAAGTTTCAGAATATGAAGACTAACAGCATGATGATAGCAGTGCAGTCATCATTGCACACGATAACTTCTCAGTTAACTTCACGTTAACTTCTCAGTTCTGGGATCTGAAGCTGAATCACCTTCAAACCTTCCCTTAGTTGTTCACAATGATCCAAATTTTAGAAATGGGGAATTCAGAATTTACCATTTACACATTTGGAAGCAAAAAGTTAAAACTTAATTACTTTTTTTTTAAGTCCTGCAATGGACTGATTGTTAAGACAAAAATTAATTAAACCCAACAGATAACCGAAGTCAAGCATCACTGGCTGCGGTCAGTGTGCGGGTGGGTGACCACTTGGATCAGTCTGAGTAGGGACCGAGGGTGTGTGGTATTGGTCCTCGTTAAACTGTTCTACCGTAAAGTGCTCGACTTCGCGCGCAGGTCGTCGGGCTACCGAAGCGGGGGTGCCATCCCCTCTGCAGAGGATCAAAATTGTGATGGCATGTCTTCGGATCATCCCCAGGGATGTTTCCCAGACCGTCGCCAATAGCCCATTGTGCCGATCTAGTGCAACAAAAATGTACTACAACAATTACTTTTATTTTATTTATTTATTTTTTGCTCTAAATGTTTGAAAATTAATAAACGCGATCTATGACTGTATTGATGTTTTTTTTTATTATTATTTTATAGTTGACACAATGGCAGTTTTTAATCAGGCTGTTGGAGGAGGAACACAGTTAGATGAAACATGTGATAATTCTGCATTAACACAAGAATTGCAGGAAAAAGCCGAACATGAGCTAATGGAAAAACAATCTTGGAGAGATCGAGATATTCAAGCTCTTAGAGATATGATAAGTGGTAAATGACTAAATGTCACAATTTTTCCTATTCATTACTTATTTTTACCATCTCGGACTTTTGTAAAAAATTTATTTTTGGCTTAAATTTTCTTGTACTATCTATCAGGGTGCGTAGCGTTTTTTAAAAGCCCTTAAAGATGCTTTTTTCATTACGTGCTTTTAAAAAGTGCTTAATTTTCCCTTTTTCAAAATGAGATTTTTCCTTTACTATGTTAATTTTAACTTCGAATTATGCAAAAAGACACAATTCACGTTGTTCTATTCAACGTTTTCACAATTAATTCAACCCCTATCTATTTTGGCGCATTGTCAGTCCGTAGCGTATGAAAATGCCATTCATTTTGCATCATTCAAAATTTCATGATTTTTGACAATTTTCAAAAACGACGCCAAAAGTTTTTTTTTGACATGACGGTTAAAATAAGATAAAACCGTCAATTGTCAAAAAATTTACAGCTCTGCCTAATTATGATATTTTTTAAAGTGCTTAAAAAAAATTTTTGAGTGCTTGAAAAGTGCTTAAAAGGTGCTTATTTATTTATTTATTTTTGAATAATTTGCACCTATTGATTGAATAATTTGCACCTACCATCATTTGTTGAATAATTATTTTGTTGAATAATTGCTGAATAATTTTTTATTGTATAATATGTACCCTGTCTATGCAAAAAGATTTTTGAATATTTAAAAACAGAGCTTATGATTGGGTTACTTAGACCTCTTTACACTTTCTCAACCCTGAGCCCTAGGTTCTTGGTTCAGGGAACATTGGATATATGTCTCCCTTCCTAATTAGAAATTTCAAATAGTCAAAAGAATATATTTTCAAACCCTGTTTATCTTATATACCTTAATATAACCTTATTTTTCTTTTTTACAAAACACAAATTTGTGCTCCTTGTATATTTGTCTAATTAAATGGTGTTTTACAGATGACCCTGACCTAGTCTCAAGAACAGACGATGCATTTTTGCTAAGATTTTTAAGAGCCAGGAAGTTTGATTACAGTAGATCCTTCAGTTTGTTACAAAACTATTACATGATGCGAGCAAAAAATCCCAAAATCTTTAGAGATTTCACCCCTTCTGCACTTAAACATGTTCACCAGTTAAATCTCCAAGGATTTCTTCCCTACAGAGATCCAGAGGGGCGTGCCATATTTGTCTTCAGAGGAGGTAATATGTGTGGTCATTGGAAAATTGCATATTCTACTAAGTATTTTAGCAATAATCTTGTAGTTATTTTTACAAAATTTTATTTATTTTTTTTATCTCTAAAAACTTATGAAATGTTTCATGTTACTGATTACAAAATGTATTTTTCATTAAAAAAAGTTTCAAGATTTTTTGATATAAACAAACACTGAATTAAAATTTTATATTGTTAATTTAATTAAAACATATAACAATGTTTAGGAACAATATTAATAATAAAAACTTTATATAGAATAGAAAATCGTAAATAAGACTACCTTTGTTCAATAGTCTGAATTGTCTTGCATATTAAAATTTGAAAATCAAATCATTTAAAATATGAAAATTAAATTGTATAATTCAATATTTTATTTTGACTAAAATAATTTTCAGTATGCATTTTTTTCCCCTAATATTTGTCTAAGCTGAATAGAAGCAATTATTTATTCTGACTAATTGAGCAATTTCATTTTTTTTCCTCCATTTATATAAGAATTTTTGAAAGGAATTATAGAAAATTGTGCAGTAAAATTTAAGTTAGCAGTTGTGATACATATTGCATTTCAATATACAGTGAAACCTGTGTATAACGATACTGTCTATAACGATAAACCTGTCTATAGCGATATTTCCTTGAGGTCCCGGTGAAATTCCTATTTACTCAATGTATTTTTAACCTGTTTATAGCAATAACCACTTTTCAGTTAAACATGTCTACAACGATAATTTTTCCTCTTTTGATAGTTGATAGTTCCATTCCGATTTTTCTACCGTTGGAAAACGACTCCCCATCGAGCTTAAATGTGAGATAACAAAATGTTTTGTTTTTTTTTTTCATCTCCTTTGTATGTAATATTCTTTCGTTCTTTCTGAGAAAAAATGCCACTTTTAGGGGAAATTAGAGCAGTAGAAATGGGTGAAGGGGTATTGTAGGNTTTGTCTAAGCTGAATAGAAGCAATTATTTATTCTGACTAATTGAGCAATTTCATTTTTTTTCCTCCATTTATATAAGAATTTTTGAAAGGAATTATAGAAAATTGTGCAGTAAAATTTAAGTTAGCAGTTGTGATACATATTGCATTTCAATACATTCTGTTTTGATATTCTGTTATTATTGTATTTAACCTGCAGATTAATTTAATTTATATATTTATAAAACACACAAAAATAGGTATAAATGAGAAATTATTCAAGATGAATGCTGTTTTCCTGTAGTAGTTAACTATAATCATTCTTGAGTATTCATAATTTGCATCAAATACAAATTTTAATATCACAAAAGGAGAAAAAAAACTATCTAATTATTAGAATTAAAATTTGTTAAAAATCAGAATTCGTTTTGTCGTTTTTTCAATTGTGGAATTGTACCACATATTTGGAAAAGTATGTCCTTTTCTGGTATCTCTAATACCCAAACACAACCAAGTACAATAATATTTTTATAAATTCAAAGAATCAGAACTAAATTTTATGTAAATCAAATAAGACTTAAAAGCTAAGATATTGATATTTTGAAAACTAAGTTGTACATTTTTATTTTGAAGGGAAACATTTATTAATTAATTTTGCTAAATGTTTTTTTATAGCTAATGCAACCCTCTTATTATCATAATTTTTTTTACCCCTAATAAAGTTTTACTTTTTTTTATAATCCCAATATGTATAGATGTAAGAAGAAAGAAATATTTTAATTTGATTTCATTGCTATTAGAAAGTAAGAAAATTGTTAGATTTATTTTGTTATCTGAATATTTTCAGGATTATTGGATTCTTCTATTTCTACATCTGATGATCTTAATAATGTTTTTTTACAGCTAATAAAGCCCTGTATTTCTTTTCACTATAAAACTATATAACTAGTTGTATTTGTTTCAATTTGATTTCTTTACTTATTGAAAGTGAAAGAATTGTTAGATTTATTTTGTTATCTGAAAGTTCTCTAGATTGCAGGATTTTTTCGTCTTGTACATCTGATGATCTTAATAATTTTTTTAATAGCAAATAAGGCTTTTTTTCCCTTTTTATCTAATCCCAATAGATCTAAATGTAACAATAAACTGTTTTAATTTGATTTCATTGCTAATTGAAAGGGAGAGAATTGTTAGATTTATTATGTTATCTAAATGCTTTTAGGATTGTAGGTTGCTTCTCTTTCTACATATGATTTTCTTATTGTTTTTTGCAGCTAATAAAGCCCTATTTCTCCTTTTTCTCAAATCCTGACATAATTAAATTAAACGTTTTAATTTGATTTCATTGTTAATTAAAAGCTACGATGTTTGTATATTTTCAGGGTTGTGGGATCCTTCACTTTGTACAGCTGATGATTTATTCAGAGCCAATGTTATATGCCTAGAAAAGCAAATTGATGATCCTCTGACTCAAATAAATGGAGTTATTGCTATTTTGGATATGAAAAACTTAGGATTTCATCATATACGACACTTCTCTCCTAGTCATGCTCTGAAAATTGTTTCACTAGTTCAAGTAATTGATGATTCTTTCTTAAGATTTATTCTTTAATTTCAAATTTTCCCCCAAAAATTAGTAAAATATGTATTTTTCTTTTTTATATCATAATTTGCTTAAGTAGGGCTAAATCAGTTAAATTAAATATTTATTTTCTCAAATAATTTTTGTATAGAAAAGACATATCCCGGTGTTCTAAGACATCCCTCTACTTTTGATGTCAAGATCACAAATTTCTGGTATGTCATGTATATAAGTCAACCGCTTAAAAAAAAATAATAAAAAAAAATTATTAAGCCTACAATCTCAACTTAAAAATGCTTCACCTCAAAAATTCTTACAAAATTTTAGGAAATTTGCACTCTGCTTTTCTAGATGTTACACAACAAATGACACTAGGCGCGCTGCAAAATGTGGATTCAAATGTTATTGTAAAATCTTTTAAAAGCAGTGGATTTTTGAATTCTTTAGACGGGGTAAAGATGATTTGCAAGAACAAAGAAAAAGAGGATGACCCAAATTGCGATGGATAGACAGAATCGAGAGAGATTTTGGTATCCTAAAGTTTTAGAGCTGAACAACTATTGCGTCCTATTGGGTTTCTGGGAAACCACTTCAGTGGAAAGCCTAGGACCAATCTGGGCTGTTGTGCTACTGATGATGCTAACATATACAGTTGAAATATAAATTGCACTTAATTTGAAGATAAAATGCATATTATATTACAATATATTGGTACACGTTACAAATGTTTATGTGTTAAATTTGTTTTATGTATGTTTATTATCATATACTGGTGGTGTTTAAGTTATATGTCTATCTACTGATATTTACTTTTTTTAAATTTCTTATGTGAAATCATTCTTTTTAGGACTCGTTTCCTGCAAGATTTAAAGCTGTGCATGTTGTGAATGAACCAGCTCTGTTTGATCTTGTTTTAACTATTGTGAAACCTCTCATAAGTGAGAAAATTAAAAAAAGAGTAAGTATTTTTAAAATCATTTTTTGAGTTGATTTCTTAACACATTTTTCTAATTCTTAATCTAAAAAAAAAATATATATATATATATTGGTTTTTCTTACATAAAGCTCCTTATACATTTTTTTCACATTAGAATCATCTTAGTTCTAGCATTTTTAAAACTGTTATGTATACTTAAAAATCACATGACTAAGTTTACTGCATTAAGAAAACCCTATAACTGGAAAAAATTCCAAACTTTAAACGTTTCTGATTTTTTTTTCTATTTTCTAAAATTTTTAGTGGGCTATTCTAAATTTTAAATGTAAGATTATAATAAATTTTCAATACTAAAGTCACTAAGTAAAAGTACTTTTTGTGTTTAGCTACAAATGATTTTATGAATAATTTGCCTCCCCTTGCAATTTTAAAATTTTGCAATAATTGCGTGACATAAATTGTGGTACTTCTTTTATAAGCAAAAGCTAGTTATTATGAGATCCAAAACTGATATTTTAAAACAATGTAGTTTTTTTTTTTTTTTTNTTTTTTTTTTTTTTTTTTTTTTTTTTTTTTTTTTTTTTTTTTTTTTTTTTGTACATTTGGAAAACTAAGAAATGAACTAGAAATTGGACGTAAGTTAACACTTTAACCATTTGAAATAGTTTAAATTTATTAATTTTAAACCTTCACTTTCATTTGTTTTAGATTCTATTTTATATTATTTATTTAACTAGGGGGCCCACCCTCAGCTCATTGTACTTGGATACCCTCAAAGCTGATTCCACTGTCCCTTTAGGATTGTGTCATAATTTGAGCTCATTTATGTTTGCTAGTACTTTTTCTAAAATGAAATTCTAAAAAAATACATCATGTACATCCTGTGAAACTTTTGATTTATTAGCATTTAATTCAATTTATATACATTAAGATTTTTTGTATGCAAAATTATGAATTTCAGTGTTTGGAGGCAACATATGTGCCTCCAAAAGGGCTAAAAACCAAAGTAAACACTAATAAAAATTAAACAAGAAGTAGATAGTCAACATAGTTATGCTTTACCCAGTTTATATAACATTTAACCAGCTCTCACTTTGCTAATTATGAAAGTGGTGCAATAAGAAGGAAAGTCACAGTTTTGTTAAAATGAGGATCGTTTATAATCTAATTTTTATATATTTCCAAAGTTACTCCAATACTGCATTGTTTATGTTCATAAAAACATACAAAAATTGAGAATTAATTACTGATTCCATTGATTTCAAAATGCAAACAGAAAGTGCAAATTTATAGTCAGGCAAAGTAGAATCAAAAATACCAATAAGCTGACCAATCTGTTGAGGAAAACAAGATCAAAATGTTCAAAACATATTTTATTGCTAAAAGAAACTGAGAGAAATGTAAATTATTACATAATATGTATGAAGGTATATGTAATACATATACCTTCAAAATTCCTTCAGTCATAAAACTCATATTTTTGATATTTTTAACCATTTTTTTCACAATATTAATTTGTCATATTTTGATAAAACATTTTTTTTCCTTGCTTGAATATTAATTTGTGTTCTTTATTATGAATTTTTTTTTGATATTTTAATTTGGTCAAGGTTTATTAAACTATATGTTACCGCTAAAGCTTGAAAGAGATTGTTATGCGCATTACCTGCATAGTTCCTAGGTTAATCCGTTGAAATGTGGAATGAAGAGTTTCCCGCAATTTACCTAGGTATCGTCTCCTTGATATGCTTTTGGTATCATTAAATTTTCTCTTAACTTATTCCAACTAATTTGTTGCTAGTTTTATTTTATCGACTTGATTCTTTAGATGCCGAGAAATAAATAACATTATGTTAATTTTCTTAATTGTAATAATATTTTAAACTGATTATTTCATTGTATTTTATTTTTTGAAGTGATGGATGGTTGATTCTATCAACTAAAGTATTGATTGTAGTAATTAAATTTTTTAAATTGCAAAAAAAAATAACGCTATGATAATTGAAGCATACATCTGTTGCAATTGTTCCAGTAAAAATCTCATTTTCACTTTAACCGCTTAACAGCGTCTTAGTATTTTCTGGAAAATTTGGTAAGCATATTTTTGAGAAACAAATTTCTGTTAAAATCGATTGTATAAACTCAAATAAAGAGTCAAAACTATTACAATTATTGATTTTATGAAATAGTTTTTATTTTTATTTAGAGCAAAAAAAATTGCATTTTTACTTAAAGTTGGCTTTTCTACTAAGCTAGTGAAAACAAAATTCACGTCTTTTCCCGCGTAAAAAAAAAGCGCCAAAACCTTTTGCAACCATACCTCTACTGGACTACGAGCGTCATCTGTTAGAAACATTGTAAACTAAAGAAAGAAAAAATTCGGGCAAATCATTGCAATAGAGTAAAAAAATCAGTCGCACGAGCGGCGCTCGGGCAAAACAGGGAAGTGGTTAATCTCTGGGGCAAACTAACATTTGTGGTTGACTTTTTCATATAACAAGCCCGCTTTGCGTTACATGGAGAGAAAAACCACGAGAACATCCCACGGTTCGCTAAATTGCAAGAGGATTCTAAAGATCAACCACTTTGGATATTTTACGTCAGTGTGATCACTGAGATCTGTGTGAGACAGGAGTAGAATTTGTAACAACCTATGATTCAAACATGTGTCATCTCATTGGGAGATAAGCGCTTTATCCCCTGCGCCATTGTGGCTCTATGTTTTGTTACTTTTTTCATTTTATTTTATAACCGGCGTTGAACAGCTAACCCAATTCGGAGTTTGATTTTCAATGTTCAGCTCTGTAACCTTATAACTTTGAACCCCACCCAGAAGACAAGAAAACTCTTTAATCAAACATTAGAACAAACTAGCCTTCGCGGAGAACTTTTTGATAGAACTAAGCCGCATTTGCGTACCACGAAGAGGAAAACTACTCATAGTTAGCCTGACGTCAAAGGGATTCTAACCCATGATCCGTCTACCACTCTGACTATTTTACGTCAGCACAGCTGGAAGCAGAATTCTTATCAACCAGTGACCTCTGGGATTCGAACCTGAGTCGCTTCATTGGTATCCGTACAATGGGCTGGGAATCAAAATTATATCTTTACAGCTTTTTTTCGCGATAACCTTACACATATTACACTAAATCTGAATTATTATCTCAATATCTATATCACAATCGTTGAAACTATATTTTATCTTCCTACTTATAAAATCATCGTATGAAAATAAATTGAAAAATACGACGAATATTNTATATATATATATATAAATGTCTGAAATTGAAAAACAAGAAAATTATTAAGCCTACAAAAGTTATCTCAACTTAAAAATACTTCACCTCAAAAATTCTTGCAAAATTTTAGGAAATTTCCTGTCTGCTTTTCTAGATGTTACATGTCAAATGACGCTAGGCTTCGCCGCAAAATGTGGATTCAAATGTTATTGGAAAATCTTTTAAAAAAAAGTGGATTTTTGATTTCTATAAGACGATTTGCAAGAACAAAGAAAAAGAGGATGACCCAAATTACGATGGATAGACACAATCGAGAGAAATTTTGAAATCCTAAAGTTTTAGAGCTGAGGGTCTATCACGTCCTATTGGGTTTCTGGGAAACCACTTCAAAGGAAAACCTAGGACCAATCTGGGCTGTTATGCTACTGATGATGATAACATGTACAGTTGTAATATAAATTGCACTTAATTTGAAGATAAAACATATATTATATTACAATATATTGGTGCACCACGTTACAAATGTTCATGTGTTAAATTTGTTTTATGTATGTGTATTATCAAAGATTCTAGTGGTGTTATATGTCTATCTACTGATATTTACTTTTTTGAATTTCTTATATAAAATCTTTCTTTTTAGGACTCTTTCCCTGCAAGGTTTAAAGCTGTGCATGTTGTGAATGAACCTGCTCTGTTTGATCTTGTTTTAACTATTGTGAAACCTCTCATAAGTGAGAAAATAAAGAAAAGAGTAAGTATTTTTTAAATTATTTTTTGAGTTGATTTATATTAACACACATTTTTCTAAATCTTGATCTACCAAATAAAATATTGATTTTTCTTATAAAAAGTTCCCTATGTAGTTTTTTCTCATTAGAATCATCTTAATTCTAGCCTTTTTAATACTATTATGTATACTTAAAAATCACATGCCTACTACATTATGTTTACCACATTAAGAAAACACTATAACTAGAAAATAATTCCAAAAGTTTAAACCTTTCTGTTTTCTAATATTTATTGACCAAAATTTGTAGACGGCTGCTCTAAATTTTAAATGTCAGATTATGATAAATTGCATAAGTCAATAAATAAAAGTACTTCTTTTGTTCAGCTACAAATGACTTTATAAATAACTTGCCTCCCTTTGAAATTTTAAAATATTGTGATAATTGCATAAAATAGGTTGTGGTACTTCTTTAAAAAGCTAGTTATCATGAGATCTAAAACTGGAGTTTTAAAGCAATGTAAATTTTTTTGTATGTGCAGAAAACTAAGAAAAGAACTAGAAATTTGACGTAAGTTAATACTTAAACAATTTGAAATTGTTTAAATTTATTCATTTTAAACTTTCATGTAACTTTTGCTTTACATTTTATTCTCAATTGGAATTTCATCGTATGCATGATTTACTTTTAATTATCATAATGCATTTATTTTCACTTATTAATTTAACTGGGGGGCCTACCCTCTGCACATTGTAGTTGGAAACCCTTATAGCTGTTTCCACTGTTCCTTTAGGATTGTGTCATAATTTGAGCTTGTTTTTGTATGCTGATACTCTTTTTAAAATGAAATTCTAAAAAAATGCAACTTATACATCCTGTGAAACTTTAGATTTATAAACATTCAGTTCTATTTATATACATTAAGATTTTATGTATGCAAAATTATCAATTTCAGTGTTTGGAGAGAAAAACAGATGTGCCTCCAAAAAACACTAAGAAAAACTAAACAAAAAGCAGATAGTTGACATTAGTTGATAAAACGAATCTCCCTCCTGCGACAATTATAAAGCACCATTAAAACTAAAATATGGTCTGAATTTTTTTATTGATTATATTTGTACTTTTTTTTTTTTGATAATATTACAATAAAGTCTGCTCATAATATTAAGGAAATGATTGAAACATGTATTGTTACCAGGCACAGAGTTCAGATTTAAATTTATGTGTTCCAGCTAGTCTAAAAGGAGTCAGAATGTTCAGTGATGATACATTTTATTTAGAGAAAAATATCACTTATAAGTACTGCTTGAAATGGTCTGAAAATTATTGAAACTTGCAAACAACTGTAGAGATATAAGAGCTTTAGCCAGTCAGAAAAGGGTCGAAATTTTAATTTCAAAGCTTCTCTATCACATAAGCTGGTTAATAAAAAATTATTTTAAATGCATTTTAATGTTGAAAATAAAAAATGCTTATCAGCAAATAATAAGCTACTTTTATTGCTATTGTGTATTTGTAGTAGTTATGCTTTACCAAAAGTTTTCATTCCATTTTTCAACTTCATGTGTGACCAGTTTTAAGCTTTCAGTTTATATAAATTTTAACCAGCTCTCCCTTTGCTAATTATGAAAGTGGTGCAATAAGAAGGAAAGTCACAGCTTTGTTAAAATGAGGACCGTTTATAATCTAATTTTTATATGTTTCTAAAGTTACTCCAATACTGCATTGTTTAGGCTCATAAAAACATACAAAAATTGGGAATTATTTACTGATTCTATTGATTTCAAAATGCAAACAGAAAGTGCAAATTTATATTCAGGCAAAGAAGAATCAAAAGTACCAAAAAGCTAACCAACCACTGTTGAGGAAGACAAGATTAAAATGTTCAAAACATATTTTATTGCTAAAAGAAATTGAGAGAAATGTAAATTATTATATATTGTACCTTCAAAATTCCTTCGGTCATCAAACTCATATTTTTGATATTTTTAACCATGTCTTTCGCAATATTAGTTTGTCATATTTTGAAAAAGCATTTTTTTTTCTTGCTTGAATATTAATTGTGTTCTTTATTGTGAATTTTCTTTATATTTTAATTTGGTCAAGGTTTATTAAAATATATGTTACCGCTGAAGTTTAAAAGAGATTATTATGCACATAACCTGCATGGTTACTCGGTTAATCCATTGAAATGTGGAATCAAGAGTTTCCCGCAATTCACCAAGGTATCGTCTCCTTAATGATTTCGGTATCATTAAATTTTTTCTTAACTTTTTCAACTATTGATTCTTTAGATGCCGAGAAATAAATAACATTATGTTAATATTCTTAATTGTAATAATATTTTAAACTGTTTAATTCATTGTATTTTATTTTTTAAAGTGATGGATGGTTGATTCTATCGACTAATGTATTGATTGTAGTAATTTACTTTTTTTAGATTGTAAAAAAATTACGCTATGGTAATTGAAGCATATATCTGTTGCCATTGTTCCAGTAAAAATCTTATTTTCACTTTAACAAGTGCTGAATAGTACTTATGTGCAGATTATCTAGGTAGTTTGCAGATTACCTAGATAATTTAAGAAATTTTAAAAAAATTTAGCCCCTTAACGAATCACACTAGTTTATCTACCCATTAGCTAAATAATCTGTATAATTATTGATTTCAGCATTTTAACAGTGACATATACTGAGAGTGACGTTTACAGAAAATATATATAGCAGTATCTACATTTGTAATTTTTTCTTAGTATACATACAGTCGAACTTCTATTTAATGAAGTTGCTAAATCCCGATAATAAGTTCGTTATATGGGAAATTCGTTAAATAGAAAATCGCCTTTTAAAATGCTTAAACAACACAAAACAGGTTATAAATTCATAAACACTAGACATAATTAAAAAAGCAATTGATACACCTTTATCTTGTAAACTAGTATCTATTATTTATTTTATCAATCTTAACCATAAAAGAAATCTACATGGAGAACAAGAATAGAGCAAAACATTATCCAGTGTTACACTATCATGCTGCATACATTTTCAACTAAAAACAACTAAATTTATGCTTAAAATTTTGACTGTATATATTTGCTGTATAAAATAATAACTGTAAAATAATTTTAAATAGAGAACGTGGAAGTGGGAAATAGGGAAAGTGGATCTCAAAGAAAAATTCGTTAAATAGAAAATTCACTTCGCTATTTGGAAGTTATTTTATGAAGAAATTTCCAAAATGTTCTTGGTTCCTCAAAAAAATTCGCAAAATAGAAGTTCGTTAAATAGAAGTCTGACTGTATATATGTATTAGCAAATTTTTTGATATTTTATTTCTGCTTGATTTAATATTTTAAAATATCTTTAATTCATTTTATGTGGCTCTTAAAAGTATTTATATCTTATTATTCACTCAGATTCATACACATGGTGGCAACATGAAGAGTTTGCATGAACTCATACCTCCAGAGGTACTACCATCTGAATATGGTGGCCATCTTGGAACTTTTGACAACAAAGAATTCATGTCTAAATTGTCTGAGGCAGAAGAGACATTTATACAAAGCCAAATGTATGGATACATATCACAAATCACAGAAAAAAATGTGAAAAAGTCTGTAAGTCTGGATACCTTCTCTCCGTACAGAAGAGTGTGTATAAGATGAATTTTCCTGTACAACCCACCTAGCTGTTAAAAAGTTTCTTTTGTATATACTGCTTTTAATTTTTCATTCCAAAGCAACTCCATGCTAACTATTATTTGGATAAGACTGTCATTTTTTTTAAAAGTTTGGAGTCAAGCTATCATACCTGCCAAGTCTCCTGTTTTTTAACAAACCCCTATATATTATGACTATCTCCTGTTTACCCGTATATTCTCAAATTTCTCCGTATTTGTTAAAGAAATTTTTAAGAAAAAAAATTTTGGTGATCAATTATCTACTGATGGCAAAAATACTTCTCTTATTCTTCAACAGATGGTGCCATTGCCAGTACAGCAGCATGTTGAATCTTAATAGTTTAAGTCGAGATGTGATGGCTCAGATGATACAGCGTTCACCTTCCAATGAGGTGAACCGGGTTCGAATATCAGTGGTGACTGGTCAATACGAATCCCATATCAGCTTGCACCGACCACAGGGCTGGTGTAAAATATCCTCAGTGGTAGACAAATTACGGGTTAGAGTCCCCTTGCCATCAGGCTAACCGTGGGATGTTTTTGTGGTTTTCCTCTCCATGTAACTCAATTGCAGGTTAGTTCCATCAAAAAGTCCTCCGCAAAGACAAATTTCTCCCAATACTTGATCCAGGAGTTCCCTTGTCTTTTGGAATAGGTTCAAAATTACAAGGCTATGGAGTTAGACATTAGTAGTCGTAAACTAAAAATTAGGTCGACTCTTCAACGACGATTATAAAATAAAATAGTTTAAGTAATTCTAAATAATTGTTTAAAAAAATCTTTTGATTTATATATATATATTTATTTTTTACTTCGCTAAATGTAAGTACTTATATTATTTCCGATTTTGTATTTAACTTTTTGACATAATTATGCAGGATGTATCACAACTTTACTCGTAACCTAAAAAATTTCATTATTAAAATCTCCATTATTTTATTTCTCCAATGTTGGCAGGTATGAAATATGCCTCATTTTGAAAAATTTACAGTACAGTAAAACCCTGATTACATTACACAACAAATTGATTATTCTTGAAATTATGTGATTTTGTGTTAACAAAAGGTGTTTGATTAATATATAAAGCAAATTATCCTTCATATACAATTTTTGAAGGAGAAAAGTCTCCTGCCTTCTTGTGAATTCTCAGATATCTTGCTTCCTTAAGTATTTAGAGCCACGAAAATTCGAGAAGGTACATAAGATTTTTGTTTGCCAGGATATTCAAAATGATTGCTAAGTTGGTGGCATTCCTGTCAATGAAAGCTCTTTTTACATTCTGTGCTAATAAAATACATTAAATTGCCAAGCTAAAATATGAATTTATGTATTAAAAGAAATATTAATTTCAGATTCATTATTTTCAGTCAAAAATATACAGGAAATATTGTATATCCTGGCATGTTTATGTATGTCTATAAAACAGACCATCTTTCCCATATTAAAGAATAAAGTAGACCGTATTAAAGTATTAAATAAAACAATGCCTGAATCTGATCTGTATTAAATGGTTCAAAACACATGAAGCTGAACAGCTTCATGTGTTTATTATGGCAATAAAATAATTAATAATGGCAATAAACATTTATTGCCATGAGGAATCTAATGTCTGGTAGCTAGAAAACGGAAATTAAAGAGAAATCAAAAATGCACTATATTTTTTTCATAACATTGTGTCATTATTCATTATCGAAAATAAAATATTAAGTTAGTATATTTTTTTAACCCAAAACGTATAGTCATAAGTTATTTTATAACTTTACACCTTTAAAAAATTTTAAATAAAAATGTACTACTGAATATCTTACAATTTTGATTGTCTGACATACCCCTGGTCCTGAAATACTTACAGATAATCTGGGTTTGATTGTATATTTTTTGCTGATTTCAAATGTAAAATTCAGTTATATAGATTCCATTTTATGACTGAAATTAACATTATATTTGCTGAGGATTCATTTTTGATTCTATTAACAAGAAAGCTTTTAATCCTGTATCTTAAATCGGATGAAGGACTTAATAAGCAAAACATTTGTGACTATAAAAAAGAAAACTAAAACTTGTTTTCACTTAAGACAGTGAAAACTTAACGACTACTCAAGATGTATCTAACATTTTATGTTAGCTCTAACAAGCAGCATTATATTTACTTTGCAGTTTCAAAATATGCTTCTGTTTTAGGAATGAATGCTGCCATTGTTTGAATATAAGTTTTGTTTTTAGAGTTAATTTTTGAAAAATTAGATCTTGCTTTTTAGCAACTCTCGTAATAAATGGGTTATCTAGCACTTATCATTAGTTTTCTAAATACAATTATCTCAAATCATTTTAGATTGAATTTCATTTTTTTAAATTAAAACCCAATTTTTTAAAATTATGTCAGCTGTTCCAAATTTTAGTTATAATTAGCTATGGAATTGTTCTCTATTGTCTTTAACCCATGTCGTATATTGTGGATATGTATATATTTTTACCTTAATATTTAAATTAAATATTTTTTCAATTTCTAGTACCATTACTGTGTATATATGTTGTAAATGTAGCTTTTTTCCCCTCTGTTTCCAATATTTTCTCTTGCATTTTACCCATGGTGATTAGGTAGCTGTTTAAGAAAATTTTAACAAGTTATTTTACTTATAGTTTTTGAAAACAACATACTAAAATCTTGTACACATAGTAACTTAAGTTGTTGTTTTTTTCATTAATTATTGAGGTATTGTCTATAAAATGTGCAAATTAGTAAAATGACCAAAAGATATTTTTAAAAAAAAAACCAAAAANCCCCCCCCCCCAATATTGAGTAGGAATCATTTTTTAAAACAGCCATCTTTATATAACCTACCCCTAATATAAATATATAAAATAAGGTAATCTACTCATTCAAAAAAACATAGAGGTTTCCACTAAATATTGATCAATGTTAATCTTGTTGTAATAGAAATGGATTATCTCTATTGCTGTTTGTATTAACTGTAGAAATTAACTATACTATTATATTCTTATAAAAAATAATCTCGTTAACTAATCTTAGTGTTAAACTAGTTTAAGTTATAATCAAATTGATGTTTAGGGAATCATTTTTACATTTATTAATTTCCTATTAAAGTATGTAGTGTGATTTAATTATTTGAAAATTTATTATAATTCTTATTTTATTCTTCATTAAAAGCATTTCAAATCTGGTATAGCCTAAAATTTTGTTATGTTATTAATTTGAAAATTAGTCACTTAATAAGATTAAATAATTAAGATTTTGTTGTGGTACATTGCCTGTGCTAAATATTTTCATTGGTCTTAAATTTTTTTTGTAATGATTAAGCACAATGATTATGCTGTTGTTATTAATTTAATATGCTCCATGTGTAGCTACTGAAATTATGAAATTAGTAAAGCATGCTAAGCACTATTAATTTTGTGGTGTATGTACGATTGGTGTAAACTATGTATTGTACTGAATAAGAATATAATTGTGTAACTTAGTTTATTTCCATCCATCTGGCCATCCAAATAAAGAAAAAAAAAGATATATAAAGTAGATCTTGATGTTACTGCAGTGTCAGATGTAATAAAGTTTATGTATATATTTGACCTTATTATATACTCATTAAATTCCCTCCATGTATAAAACTGTTAGAGTCATCCTATCAAGATTAGATTATCCTATTAAAGCATATTGCTATATTGATAGACTTTGCTCTGAACAGAGTGCTAGAAATATATATTCTTAATATGTAGGAACCCAAATTATTAAACTTTATTTTTTTATTATGACCTCAAATTTTATAAACATGTAGAAAGATAATTGGTGGTGTTTGTTGTAGCGAAGTGCTATCTTATATATTTAAAATGTTAATTTGGTAAATTCATTATATTATTTATAAAGGCCTGTTTACACGGTCCAATTTCTTGAATCCAAGAAATTGGACGGATTTCTCTGTTCAAGAAATTGGATGATTCGTTGACACTATCCAAGTTCTTGAATGTCACTGATTCGTTGAAAGAAAAACTTCCGCATGCGCATTGTTCATATTCAACATTATGAAATAATACTAACATAAGTTTAAAATTACTAAATAAATTCAAATAAAATCATAATAACACAAATAAACCGCAACAGATCAATTTATTTGGACTAAAATATATGAAAACAGACAAGAAGATGACATAATTTGCTGCCTGATTGTTGATGTCACAAAACCTAAGACGCTGATTGGTTAAGGGAGAAAAAACTTGGATGGAAAGTAGAACATGCTCTACTATCGTCCAAGAAGTTGGACCAAGTTCTTGGATGTTTGTTTACACGATCAAAGCTCAAAGCAAAACAAGTTTCCATCAATATCAATCAATCTCTGTCCAAGAAATTGAATCGTCTAAGCAGGCCTTAAGATCAGATAGCTATTTTTAAAATTTCATTATGTTTACAAAGTGAAGATTTATTAAAAATTAACACTTATTAAATTTCGTTTTATTGTTATTTTTAATGAATTTTTTTTATTTTGAATAATAAATTTTAAAAACTGGTAAAGAATCTCTTTAACATTAGTTACTATACCATAGTGTATTAATTACATTATGTATTATATGTAGTTTTGTTTTTTGTAGTATTTTATTTTTATATGTTTTTATTTTTATAAAAAAAAATTCTGTTATAGCAATTCTAAAAACAAAAGTATTAAAAAAAATTTTACTTATTTTCGGAATGATTTGCAATACACAAGTATGATCATCAGCATTTATTTTATTCATTTTGTAACCTCAGTTTGAAACATGTTAAAAAGTGTCTGGCCTTAAGAAACTTCAAAATCATCATTAATGTGATTGTATTGTATGAAATATATAGAGTGGTCATAAAAAACGTTACCTATTCATGAATCCAGAGGGCTTTATCCGCTTAACCAATCAAAATGAAATTTCAGATAGTGTCGTAGCTGGATCACGATAGCTGGATATCGTGATAATTCAGAAAAATATAGCTCTCACACTTAAGATTACAGTGAAAAAATTTCGAAAGTTTCAAATGCCAGTACACGTTTTTGTAATCAAAATATGTTCCTCATTGTAAAATACTTGAAACAGAGTTAGAATGATATTTTTAACATAAAAAACCGCAGAGAAACTTACAAAAGAAAGAATATTTTATATGTTCTTTTGCCAACAGGAAAGAAAAAGAAAAGAGTGATTTTTATACTACTACTTCTTGCTTCTTCATCTCTGCTAACATAGCAGCTTGGCATGCTGAAAACTCTGATTTAACTTATTTACTGTGAGGATTTTGTTTGGATGGAAGAAAAAAGGCATTCACATTCGAAATTTGTTCACTATAACTGTAACCGTGCGGAAATTTTATTTTGAGTGATACAAGTAGTGTTTACAGCTGATCAGGGCCCGATT